GATATGCTGACTCTGTAAGCCGCTTAGAGAGGGCTGAAAGCCCTATGAAGCGGTATATAAGTCTAACTGCTATTGCTATTGCTATTGGTTGGGCAACAAGCAGAAACTCCCATGTTTTGAGGATGTCCTATAGGTGGATGACTACAAAGAACTATTATGTTGACAGGAGAAAGAAGGGAAGGCAATAAAAAAAGCTTGGAAATTGGATGTTATTTCTAGAGACGGGCAGGGCAGAATGAGTAGGATCAGGAATAAGATCAGTCCTGATGTTGCATAACTAATGATGACAGAATCTGAGCTTTTAAAAACTTAAAAACTCATGGATCCATCCATGTTCAACCAACCACAAAAGGTTTGTTCCTGCCCTCTTACAAAACAGCTTTATGACTTCTAGTTCAGCCCTAAGAATTCTCATCCAAGTATTAACTACAGGACAACTAAATAGCATTGGTAGTATATTATGGTGTTGAGTTTCTTCCACGATGCTTGTGATGTTTTACAAAATAGGAAATTGTCATTAGTGCAGATGGGCGATCTAATTATCTGGAAATCAGACCTCACAGAAGCAGTTAGATGGTCAGCTTCCTTAGCTATGGAATTATAAGATCTATCCTATTGCAGCCCTACACGATACCATATTATGGTGATTTAAAATACCTTTTCTCCATCGTTTTCCTAAAATAACTGTTGTAGTCTAATTGCTGCCTCTGCAATTTTTGACCGTGTAAGAAATGCAATATCTGTTATTTCAACTAAATTTGCATAAATCAGTTGCTGCGTGACCTCTGTAGATGCCGTACGCAAAATAAAATAATGATTTTATCATGGTTTTTATGTTAATTTAATGCTTATCTCATATATTGTACTGTCCACATATTTTACATATGTGCATACATCTATCTGCTGATGCTCTGCTTACACACAGTTGTGTTTTGAATGCAAAAAGTGCTGTATTAGTGGTTGTATATCAGTGGTTGGGTGTCCTCTGTAGATGCCATACGCTACATAAACAAATAAATAAATAATCTAGAAATGACTATTTGGGAAATTTATGGTAGGAGAGAATCAAGAACTTCAGTTGTCTTAGAGCAGTGTTTCTCAACCTTGGCAACTTGAAGATGTCCGGACTTCAACTCCCAGAATTCCCTAGCCAGCGCTGGCTGGGGAATTCTGGGAGTTGAAGTCCGGACATCTTCAAGTTGCCAAGGTTGAGAAACACTGTCTTAGAGTGACTGAAATGCCAACCCATTTCAGATGGAGGTTGTATTATAATATTTGTTCATAACTAGCTTCTTCTAAACTCCAAGGTCTCCTCTACCAAATATTCTGGTGCCATCCCCCTTTTGGAGAAAATTTTTCTGATCACTAGGAGTCGAATGTGATCTGATGGAGATCAATCAATCAATCCCCTTCTTGTCTTATTGTTACATTTCCTGTTCTGACCTAGGCTTCCCAAGAGCATGAAGAAAACTCCTGGTTCCGATAAAAACCCCTTTTATTAATTTCCTATGAATTCTGCTTATTCACATTCAGGAGAGTCTTTCAAGGGAGGAGTTACAGTCACACTCCTTATCTGGCTTGGAGAGCTGCCAGGCCCGATATCTGCAAATCTTGGCAAGGAGTCTTGGAGAGTCACAAGCCAATTAAGCGAACTAATTGTCTCCTGCAAACTCCATTCCCCTTTCGCTCCTCTTATTTCCCCTTGGAGGGGCCATTCATCGTCCACCTGTGGCCTTACTCCCAAGTCAACCCCTGTTCTTGAGCTGTTCCTGTTGTCTGGAAACTCTGCACATGCACACACTGAGAACAGGCTACAGCTGTTCATCTGCCTCACTAATGTCTGACTCTGAAGGCAGCTGATAACTGGTCCGCTCTCTGCCTCCGACACAGAGCCCTCATCCGAGCCTTTCCCAGACTCCAAAACTGGCCCATCTTCCTCCCCAACCTCCTCACTGTCCGAATCTGCTGCCAATTGTGCTGGCCGTTGGGGGGCCACAACATTTTCATCTCTTTCAAAAAGCACCAAAATGAATTGGAAAAGCTTTGCAACAAATAACATCACATTTGTGTTATTCCATCTCTTTTGACTTTTGACATATGGTTTGAATTCCATCTCTTCTCTCTCCCACCCTCCCTCTCCCTCCCTCCCTCCCTCTCTGCAAAACTCTAGCATACTCGAAGATGGTAATGGAGACATGGCAACCACAGCTGGGATTAACCATCGAGCGACAGAGAATCCTGGTGATGAGGGAGAAGCTGTTGACCTTCATGGAGAAGGCAGCCCAAGATATTGAAAAGCAGGATCCGGTTTCCCACAAAGGTATTTGTATTTATTAATTTGTCAAACATGTACAAGATAACAGGTATATTTAAACATGGACAGGAAGAAAAGAAATGAGTACAAATAAATCGGGACAGTAGGACAGGAATGTTAGGCATTCTGGTGCGCTTATGCACACCCCCTTTACGGACCTCTTAGTAATGGGGTGAGGTCCACAATAGACAGTTTGAGGTTGAAGCTGTGAGGGTTTGAGCATGTAACAATGGAGTTGGGAAGAGCATTCCAGGTGTTGACCACTCTGTTGCTGAAGTCGTATTTTCTGCAATCGAGTTTGGAGTTGTTTACTTTGAATTTGTATCAATTTTTTGCCTGAATATTATTGAGGTTGAAGCTGAAGAAGTTGTTGATAGGTAAGACGTTGTAGCAGACAATTCTGTGCACTGTGCTTAGATCATAATGCAGGTGGTGCAGTTCCAGGTTGTCCAAGGCCAAAATTTCAAGCGTGGTGGCATTAGGAATCCTATTGTGAGCAGAGGAGTTGAGGATTCTTCTTGTGAAATACTTCTGGATCCGTTCAATCATATTAATGTCCAATATACAGTGTGGATTCCAGCTGTATTCGAGGATTGGTCTGGCAAAGGTTTTGTATGCCCTAGTTAGCAATACAGTTTTACCGGAGAAGAAGCTTCGCAAAATTAGGTTAACAGCTCTTAATGCCTTTTTGGAAACACTGTTACATTGAGCTCTGGGGCTTATATCATTTGAGATGAGTACTCCCAGGTCCTTGTCAGAGTGGAGGTAAGTAAGTAAGTAAGTAAGTAAGTAAGTAAGTAAGTAAGTAAGTAAG